GATTGAGTAAAATATTGGAAACCTAGTACAGAACGGATGTGGATTCAGTAAAATATTAGTAATTACTTACTTAAAAACACGAGTAGAAACGACTGGGTGAAATAATGAAAAACTTCTATAAAGAGGGGTAGATTGAATGAAGTATTGTTAACGTACTATAAAACTGATATATCTGGATTAAGTGAAATATTGGTAACGTACTACAGAACAGAGATGGAATTAGACTGAAAAAAGTATTGATAACTCACTACAAAAAAAAAGAGGTAGAAAAAATGAAACATTGGTAAATTACTATGTATAAAGAAAGCACACAAGTAAGAGTGGCTCAAAGACTGTCGAGACTCAAGTCGGTCTTCATTATGGCTTTACTGATTTAGTGACGATAGGTGGAGAGAGTTATCTCCTGGGCATACTTTATAAGGTGTTTATTCAACTAACATGAAGAAAACTACTTAATCTCTGAGAAAGGTGCTTCATAGTCAACATCTGCTTTTATTGCTCATTGTCACACATTAGCATACGTTTAAAGGTCATTGTAGCTGTAACAGGTAACCGATTTTCTGTAGTCAGAGAGCCAATAACACGGTTCAAGTCAGAGAAGAGCCATTTTTAAATGTCATTTTTGCATCACACTTAAAACGTCATTCTCTTGTGAAAGTCGAAGTTTTTAAACACATGATTTCTAATTATATCTTAGCGCGTTGTCTCATGTACTGGTGCCAGGTCAAACCATTTCGGTAAGATAAGATTTTGAAAGCATGTTACAACTTACAGTGTCAAAACTTATCGATAAGCGTAAGCCAAAAATCTTAGGTTCATACGAAAAGATTCCTACGTGATATAATAAACACTGGTTCAACTGGTTCGTATTCTGCTTCAAGACTTAGAGCAAAATTGTTTAGCTTCTATAAATGTAGAAAAAACAACAACATATTAGCATACTGTACTAAGATATACCGACAGACGCAAAAAAAGATGGATGGAGTTACACACAGAGTGCTATGAGGACAAAAACAATTACGGAGATGTCAAAGGAAGAGAGAGACGCACAGAGAAATACAAACGTGCGCAGATACACAAGAAAGGAATTTATATTAGTGTTAATCGCACATTTCTGAAAGTAAGATTAAATTAATTAGTTATTAAATGAAACTCTAATACTTTATCTATTACTCAACTTTTATCACAAAATACCTACGGTACCTCGATCTCTGGTACAAAAAAATAGGAAAAAGCGTTTTGAACATTTTCACAAATTACGACTTCAAAGTGGCACAAGTCTACTAAAGTTAGTGTCAATAAATTTGTAATTATTATGTTTTCATAATGCAAAATATACTCTGGGTTCAGAATTTTTTATTTATTTATTTTTGATAATCTTTCTACAATTTTTTGCAGTTTCAAATAAAATATAAGGCTTTTCTTAGAACAGTATTAGGCCCCGGCATGGCCAGGTGGTTAGGGCGCGGGTTCGAATCCCCGACCCACCAAACATGCTCGCCCTTACAGCCGTGGGGCGTTATAATGTTGCGGTCAATCCCACTATTCGTTGGTAAAAGAGTTGGCGGTGGGTGTTGATGACTAGCTGCTTTCCCTCTAGTCTTACACTGCTGAATTAGGGACGGCTAGCGCAGATAGCCTTCGTGTAGCCTTGCCTGAAATTCAGA